CAGAAACCGCACACAACCAGGAAAGAAGGGAATGTCACCCCGAGGTGCTGTTTCATGGTTAGGTGTAAGCATGCATTCAGATTGTTTTATAGGAATTGGCTTTCCCATATTCTGTACAGCAGCAAAGTATATATTGCAAAGCTTCCCATGCACTATGTTGCATAAAATTAAGTCTCTTCTGTACTGTGTGTGTTCATGTTTAAAAAAAAAAAAAAAAAAAAGACTGCAGAGCACTCCAGTCTGGATGCTGCTAGGCAGGTGGTGCCTTGACCTTAACTGCACACCCTCCTTTCTATTTGCTACATGAAGTGGCACTTCATGATCCGGCTCTGTGCTTTGTTTGCAAAATGATATACCATTTATAACTGGACCTTTCAGAAAACAGTTTGCACAACTTGTAGCAATGTCATCATGTCAGCTGCTGTCTACAGTCATACCTGAATGCGTATGCAGTGTTGTCATGATCGTTGTTTAACATCATACTTTAGTGCCTTTCAAAGGAGAGACAGCAGTGCAGTAGATCTATACTTCTTGTTGAATTAACATGTATCATAGAAGCATAGAAAATTAGGGTTGGAAGGGAGCTCAGGAGGTCATCTAGTCCAACCCCCTTCTCAAAGCAGGACCATCCCCAACTAGATCATTCCAGCCAGGGCTTTGTCAAGCCGGGCCTTAAAAACCTCTAAGGATGGAGATTCTACCACCTTTCTAGGTAACTTGTTTCACTGCTTCACCACCTTCCTAGTGAGAGAGTTTTTCCTAATATCCAACTTAAACCTCCTTTGCTGCAACTTGAGACCATTGGTCCTTGTTCTGTCATCTGTCACCATTGAGAACAGTCTAGCTCCATTCTCTTTGCAACCACCATTCAGGGAGTAAAAGGCTGTTATCAAATTTCCTCTCTGTCTTATCTTCTGCAAACTAAATCAACGCAGTTTCCTCAGACTTTCCTCCAGAAAGCCTTGCTAAAGTCCAGGTATATTATGTCCATTGCTTTCCCTGCATCCACAGAGCCAGTCATCTCATCATAGAAGGCAATTAGGTTGTTCAGGCATGACTTGCCCCTGGTGAATCCATGCTGACTGTTCCTAATCACGTTCTTCTCCTCCAAGTGCTTAGAAAATTATTCTTTGAGGACCTGCTCCATGATTTTCCTGAGGACTGAGGTGAGGCTGACTGGTCTGTAGTTCCCTGGATCCTTCTTCTTCCCTTTCTTAAAGATGGGCACTATATTAGCCCTTTTACAATAATCTGGGACCTCCCCCTGTCACCACAAGTTTTCAAAAATAATGGCCAGTGACTCTGCAGTCACATCAGCCAACTCCCTCAGCACCCTTGGATGCATTGCATCCAGCCGCTCAGATTTGTATAGTTCCAGTTTTTTCTAAATAGTCCCTAACCTGTTCTTTTACCACTGAGGGCTGCTCACCTTCTCCCCAAACTTTGCTGCCCAGTACAGTAGTCTGGGAGCTGACCCTGCCTGTGGCAACGAAGGTAAAAAAGGCAGTGAGTACTTCAGCCTTTTCCTCCTCATCTGTCACTAGATTGCCTCCCCATTCAGTAAGGGACCCACACTTTCCTTGACCTTCCTCTTGTTGCTAACATACTCGTAGAAACCCTTCTGGTTGCCCTTCACATCCCTTGCTAGAGGCAACTCCAGTTACACTTTCGCCTTCCTGATCTCGTCCCTGAATGCCTGAGCAATATTCTATTCTTATACTCCTCCCAAGTTGTTTGTCCAGGCTTCCACTTCTTGTAAGCTTCCTTTTTGTGTTTGAGCTCACCAAGGAGTTCTTTGCTAAGTCAAGCTGGTTTCTTGCCACATTTGCTATTCTTCCTGCATATTGGGATGGTTTGTTTCTCCACCCTCTGTAAGGATTCTTTAAAATGCTACCAGCTCTCCTGGACGCCTTTCCCCCTCAGACTGCCCTCCTAAGGGATCCTGCCCATCAGTACCCTGAGGGAGTTGAAGTCTGCTTTTCTGAAGTCCAGGGTCTACACTCTGCTGCTCTCCTTTCTTGCTTTTGTCCAGATCCTAAACTCAAATCATCTTGTGGTCACTGCTGTCCAACTTGCCATCCACTACTACATCCCCCACCAGTTCTTCCCTGCTTGTGAACAGTAGCTCAAGAAGAGCATGGCCCCTAGTTGGTCTCTCCAACACTTGCACCAGGAAGTTGTCTCCAATGCTGTCCAAAAACTTCCTGGATTGCCAGCACACCGGTGTATTGCCCTCCCAGCAGATGTCAGGGTGATTGAAGTCCCACATGAGAACCAGGGCCTGTGATCTGGACACTTCCGCTAATTGTCTGAAGAACATCTCATCTACCTCATCCTCCTGGTCTGGTGGTCTATAAGATACACCCACCATGATGTTACCCTTGTTACTCTCCCCTCTAACCTTAACTCAGAGACTTTCAACCAGCCGATCTCCAGTTTCATACTGGAGCTCTGAGCAGTTATACAGCTCTTTTATATACATCGCAATTCCTTCTTCTCTTCTCCCTTGCCTGTCCTTCCTTAAAAATTTGTATCCATCCATGACAGTGCCCCAGTCACATGAACTACCCCACCAAGTCTCTGGTATTCCGATCACCACATATTTCCTTGACTGTGCGAGGTCGTCCAATTCTTCCTGCTTGTTTCCCAGGCCCCATGCATTTGTGTACACACACCTGAGGTGACTACCCAATTGCCCTACTTTCTCAGGAAGAATGAGGCTTCCCCTGTTGCCCCCCAGGTTCGCAAGCCTGTGTGCAAAGATGCCCTTCTCCCACTTTGTCAGGGGGATCTTGCCTCTTCCTAGCAATCCTTTTTCTTAGAACAACATCTCATGATTAAAGAAACTGAATCCCTGCTGCAGTTAACACTTAGAAGTTATGGATTTTAGGCCCCTAGCAGACATTACATTTAAGATGCAGTTAGTTTGTTAATCTGTCTTGTAATACAACAATTATAATACAAATGTAATATTTTTCTGCCTGGTTTCCATCATACCTTAAATTGAATGTATGGCAGGGATAGTAACATACCGGGGTCCTGGCTGGATCCAGGACCACACTGGGGCTTGAACCAGCCCCCATGCAGTCTCTGCCAGCTGAGATCAGCTGATTGCTGGCCAGATCAGGGACTGCACCAGATTCCAACTGGCTCTGGTGTGGTCCCCTCCAGCCAACAACCAACCAAGTAGCTGATCATCAGCTGGATCAGGTCTGCACCAAAACTCCAAACAGTCATGGTGCAATCCCTGCAATCTCATGGTGCAGCTGGCTGTTGCTGGCTCCCACGGCTTGCACCGGGTCCAGTTCAAGCCCCACTGCAGTCCTGGAAACAGGTGGCAGTCAGCTGGCTGCTATGCACCCAGCCCCAGCACAGGGAGAGCCTGTGATCCCTTTGCGCTGGGAAATAGGGTGGTATTGGGAACTAATCCCTGATCCCAAAATCATGCGTCCCACCATACACATGTGGCCTGGCAGGAAGCATGATTGTTGGGATTAGAGATAAGATCCCATTGAGCCTTTAAATTAATGTGCGTCAGTGGCCTTAGTTATGTTAGTGGTAATGTTAAATTTAAAACTCAAGTAGAAAGTTTGAAATGATACATCTTTACCCAAAAATGAACTCACTTTTTGACACAAGTGTTTTAACAGATATCTCTGACATGTATTTTGGTGGGAGGTGGTGGAAGAGCATTGCTGCCAACTGTTCTGTCTCTTGGCATTCTCAGAATTTCCCTTACAAGAGGCCAACTTCCACTTCAGCCTGACCTCACTTGTTCAGCATAAGGAAATGCAACACGCTCCTTAGGCACTGCCAAGCTCCATGTGCATGATGCCAGTAGAACACTGGCAGGCTCTTCAGGGAACTTATTACAAAATCCTTTTGCATGTGCTTTTTTAAAATCTCTGCAAACTGGACAAATTATTGCCAGATTACTCAAAGACATGTAGGGCCTTCAGGTAGATCTTACCAAATTTCACCACTTATAACGACCTACCAAACTAAAGCTATTTTAAGAAACATCCCTGAGTTGTTCCCTTCCCCTCATAATGTGTGTGTTTTTTCCCTTGTTCAAATTAATGAACTCATTTCAATGATATGTTTAAAAACAATTTGCTTCCCAACTACTGAATCTGTCAACTTTCCACTCCAGAAGTTTTTTATGTAGCTGCAAATGTTTGGCACAAAATCAGTGGTATTCACCTCTGCTATCTGTGTCAGTATATCCTCTGCCTAGAATTACAGCAATGGTCTGTTCTGAGTAGGGAATCCAAGGGATAAGCAAAAACTCATGGTCTGGGTGGACTGCTCTCAGTAATAAATAACACTTTACTTTGTGTTGGCGCATGACCAAAGATGCTACATGGAGCTGATTCCTGTGTATGCATATGTCTGGGTTGTATTTGTGCAAATGAAGAGTTATATGCAGGGTGATCATATGCCACATTTTTTGTTGGAACAGTACTGTTCTAAACACCTGTTCTGAGCGTACCAGCTTTATTCAAATCAACACTTTTGTCCCATTTATAGAAAGCTCTGCTCTCCAGCCAGGGGGAGTGATAGGGGGCTGTGGGTCCTCCAGCATTGCATAATACTCCACTCTGCCACCCTTCTCCCCAGTACACTTAGCTGAAACTGAGCTTGGAGATAGCTGAGCATGTTTTGGGATACCAGAGGACCTTTGAAAAGGAAAGACTTGGGTAACCCTTCCCAACACATCAGCTTGTCCATTTTGAGAAATATGATTGCCTCATTTATATGGGAATGTAGCTAATACATGCAAGGAGGTGATACCCTTGTAATAAACTTAACACGCATAGTTTGGTGCCATCTCTGCCCCCTGCTAATTTCATTTAATCCAGTTGCTCTGGGGCCATTTCTAATTCCAAAGAAGGAACCTTACAATACCTACTCCAAAGCAAATTACATTTATCGTAGCTATAGTTTTCAGTACAAGGATACATGGCTGAATATTCTTTTCCTCTCCTCTCCATCTCCAGTATGGAATGCTACTGTATCAGAACTACAGAATCCCCCAGCAGAGAAAAGCCCTGATTCCACACTTCTCCACTCCAGTGGTAAGTCCTGAAGTTTACTTTCAAATACATGATTATCTGACGTCTTTCCCTCCATTATCTTTCTCATAGTTTACTTTATAAGTCTGCTTTTTAGAACCAGAACACTGTGAACTGCTTACAAGATCCATAAGCAGAAACTTAAATTGTTTTTGCCTTTCTGTAAGGTCATTGTGGCATAGGTTTCCCAGTTTTCAGACATGTTTAAATATATCTGCAGCTTCTCGCAATGCTTTTTTAATCCGTTAAACAAGTTGGGTTACTCCTATTCTGAACTGCAGTTGCACAAGAGGAACAAGGAAAGAAAGAAAGAAAAGAAAAAAATACCAAAAAACCCTCCCATAAGTACCTCTTCAGTCTTCCCCCTGCTTCCAAGATGCCTGGTTTGTAACTGATGTTTTGTACGCACCTCTCTTCACTGTAAAACTAAATTCCTCATTAGTCATAATAGCTTTGAAAGAGAGGAATGATTATACCTTCATGGCTTTGTCCAATGACAAAATTAGACTGCTTTGTATTTTTTTGACTGTGTACTTCTTGGGCAGTTGCTGATGGTGTGTAGTGCCACACAACCCATTGCTGCTGTGGTCATAAATCAGAATTTTCACTCTAAATTGAAAAAAGGTAGCTGAGGGCATGGCCATTGCTAACTATGAATGGAATTGCTAGACCTTCTGAGGAAGCACTTGCATAAAAGGATAAGAGAATCAGGCATTTGGAGAGGGGTATGGCTTTGATTTTACTCTCAGTTATATTGGATCCTCATTACAAATATTTGACATTCAAAGAATCAGGAATTAAAATAGAGCACTGTTAAACGTGAAAACACCCTTTTGAAACTGGGACAAGAGTTGGATGGCAGGTGCTCTCAAGCTGCATCCCCCCCCCCGCATTTTGAAACGAATTAAAATTCTTTTTTCAGAGAAGCGTATCCGAAAACTCGCTAGTAGCAATGGATTTTTCGGGACAAATAGGAAGAGTTATTGAAAATCCTGCAGAAGCACAGTGTGCCGCCTTAGAAGAAGGACATGCTTGGAGGGTAACTGCTTTGTCCTCTTTGTTTTCCACTTGAACACGCAGTGCACTATGAAGTTAGTACAGCGGGTGGTTGCAATATAGCTTAGCTCCAATTTGAAACATTCAAGCTGCAAGCATGCAGAGTTGAAAGAGTCAGTTTCAATCTTTAGCAAACCTGTCTCATTCACACCAACCTTCTGTCACTGCTTCTCTGTCCCTCACTAGTGTCCAGAGGAAGGTTGAGGGGGAGAGCAGACTCACCAGAACTTTACTGCCAGTTTGCAAAACCACTCTCTGAGGAGGAATGTGTCAGATTATAAGCTTCCCCCACATGGAAGAGGCTGGGGCTCTGACTAATGGCTTGCTCCCAGTAAGTTTAATTGCAGAATATACAAGAGTCAGGACCTCTTGAAATGCAAACCAATGTAACTTGTTTGTAGTGTTGTGTGGACAGACACTTGCAGTACAGATTTTCCCACAGTCTCGTCTGCTAGGGACCCGAAGTCATTACCTGAAGCACTAGGTGGTGCTTTCTGTCTGGGAGATGTACCCTGCTCTGCAGAGTGCATAGTGCTCTCTGATTGAGCAGCAGCAGACACGATAGGTTTTTGTTTGCTTTTTTTTGAGTCATTGAGCTTTCAGGCATTAAGAACTGGCTTTTATATTAAGCCACCAGAAATGTGCTATGGCTTGTAGAATACCACCTCCCTCCCCAGATCTGCATCTCTTTTTTTTCTTTTCCTTGCATTAGATTTACCCTATCTCCATTTCTTATATATTGAATCTGTGTGCATGTGCTCTAATTCTCTAATGCCAAGGTTTCATGCCATATTTAATAGTAACTCATTTCTTCTGTAGAAACGCAGCACAAGAATGAACATCTTAGGTAGCCAAAGTCCACTCCATCCTTCCACACTGAGCACAGGTAAATTTTGTTATGTAGTAATGAGACCCGGGGTGGGGGGAGTGGGGAGAAGAGGCGGGTGTTGCAAGGTGTTAAATGAAATAATGTTCCACATTCTCAGTTTTTACCGATTTTTTTCACTGATAAATTTCCTGTTTTTTTTTTTTTTTAAAGTCATTTGGTTTTTACTGATTTACACCTGTTTTTCAGTTGCGATCCCTATTAACCAGCATGAGTGGGTAATGACCCATTCCCCACTCATACTGCTTAACAGGGATTTGAACTAAAAAGCGGGTGGTGCCAGGAAGCTAAAGTGACGCTGTGTCAGTTACCTGAGGAACAGGTTTCTGGCCACGGGTGGGGGAGTGGCGGGGGCAGCGGCCATCTGCGGAGCAGGGAGGCGGGGGGTGGCGGTGGCCACATGGGGGTGGGGAGAGTGTGGCTCTAGCTGCTGCCTGGGGGTGTGGGGCTCCTGGCTCTGGCTCCAGGCGGGGTGGGAGGGGCCATGGAAATCACTCCCAGGGTGTGTGGGTCCCACGTGCACCCCAGCGGCTCTAGCTTCAGCCCTTCCCTGGGAGCTGTGAGCCCTGAGCCCTGCTGGGGGGTGCAGGCAAGAGAGCCTGGCCCTGCTCGCAGTGGTAGGGGGCTTCCCCTGGGTGCTCAGCATGGATGGCATCAGCCTCTTCCATGTGCTTGGGGCAGGCATCCATCTGCTCTTGTCCCATGTGCAGATCTGGGGTCACGCACCCCCTAGGAAGAGCCCAGCACAGCCCTCCTGAAAGGCCCATAGCAACAGGAGCTGTGCCCTACACCTGCTGACAGCTCCCTCTGCTTTGCTTCCTGCTGCAGCCCCAGGAGCAGCTGACGGGTTGCACTGTGCCCCTCCCCCCACCCCTTCCCTAGTCCCTGTCTTACTCCCTCCCACCCTCACCGCCAATTTTTTTTTTCCCGATTTAAATCGATTTCCCCCCTTTTCTTCCTTTTACCCTGATTTCATCCCGGTTTTTGTGTTTCGAAGATAAACCCCAAAACATTCCCAGATTTTTTTTAAATAAAAAACTGAGAATGCAGAACACTATATATGTGTATCCCTAGTGTGTAGGGATGGAAGCCAGGCCTTTAAAACTCAGATTCTAATTTCAGACACCTTTAAAAGTTTGAACTTGGGGTGAAATTGTATCCATATCTAATGTCAGGGTACCCAGGAACTTACTTGGTAATGTAGAAGCTATTAAATATATTCAAGAGGCTAGAGACAAAAAATTGATGTAATTCTCAGAAACTTTTAAAACATCACTCAGATTTTGGTTCCAATCTTAAATTGTATGAACTGGACTCAATTCATGTTTCCACGATTTAAAAACAAGTAGTCAATCACTTGTGATAGTCATTGATTTATACTCTGTAAATCTTAACAACTGGATTTTCCAAATGTCTTCACATTGTAATTTAAAAACGATGTGACATTTGGTTTTTATGAAAAAAGTTGTATATCCTTTTTTAAAACAATATTTCAACAGTATTATGCTTTTAACTTCTAGAACTGAAAGCAAAAATCCTTTATTTATGGTTAGCCCTTTGTAGGTGTTTTTTAAAGTTTAATGGTAGCAAGGTAAGGGGGGGGCGGAGAGGAGGGCTTTCTCTGTTGCTATGGTTTTAAATATCTTTGCCCTATTTTTTTTTTATTATTTTTATGAAGGAAAAATACTTGGAGGCATCTCTAGTTATGAAGAACTGAGGGAGATGGTTTTCATTCTGTTCTAATTCAAATGGCTAATGAGTTTAATTCAAACTTTCTTTGCCTTCTTTGTCAATCCTGACATAACTTAAGTTTTTAGCCCCAGGGCAGAGGGTTTTTTTGGAAAGCTCCGAAAACCTGTTTTAATATAACTGAATACCTACTCTTACAGTTTCAGCATCTGCATGGACTAGTGTCTTAATATAAAGGATCTTGAATATGCTGTCACTTTTTACCAATTTTTTTTTCATGTCTTGGCAGATATTTTATCTAATCTAATAAAACTTAAGTTATATCTCTAAAATATGCCAATAAAAAAATATGATGATGTTGTTATATCTAGAAAAGCATATGTTGTACATCTGACTGCTGTTAACCTTTTTTAACTATGTCTCCCCCATCAGTTATCCATAAGACACAGCACTGGTTTCATGGAAGAATCTCTCGAGAAGAATCTCACAGGATTATTAAACAACAAGGGCTTGTGGATGGGTGAGCATTATTCTCTAGTATATCTTATTTACAGTTGTTCCACAAGCTTGTCCTCTTCAAAGGCTTCAGTAGGACCAATCACATAAGTGTTGGGCTCAAAGCTTCAATCCCCAAAGTAATATATTAAGTATACATGTAAAGTTAGGTTTTGGGAAGAATGTTAAGGGCTGAGAATAACCTGTAACAAAGAAATAAATATCTATTTCTTCCTCCAAATCTTAATTCTCCTAGTAGGGTTCTACATTTAAATACCAGCAAATAGAGTTGGCACAAGAGAAGCATTTAACTTCATTCCCCTTACTTGTATTAAAGGCGGTATTGGCTTTCCCTCATTATTTCTTTTCTTCAGCAAAAAGGGACAAACATAGCTGAATGGACCCTTTAAAAATGCTTGTATCTGGGGTTCTAGTTCTTTACAGTTCTAGGAGCATGTTCAGGTTTTCATTGTTTTCTTGCTATAGCATTTGTACTCAGCAGGTTTCCCTGCTTTTCAGTGGGAAAACCATGGCTACCTGCCCACCTTCAGGATCTAGTTCATAGAATGAACTAGATCCTGCACTAGGGGGAATGCCTTACTGGATCTGGTATTGGCAACGGGGGATGACATGGTAGGGGACCTCCAGATCGGTAGCCATCTGGGGGTCAGTGATCACCTAATAATAGAGTTCACCATAAGACGTCGAGTGGGTAAGGTAACTAGTAGGGTGAAAGTGCTAGACTTTAGGAAAGCTGATTTCAACGAACTCAGGCGATTAGTCAAGGACGCACTGCAGTGTAGGAGTTTTAAAGTGGTGGGAGCCCAAGAAGGGTGGCTGTGCCTCAAGGAAACGATCCTTCGGGCACAAAGCAAGACGATCCCCGAGCGAGGCAAAAGGGGGAAAGGGGCCAGGAGGCTTCCCTGGCTGACCAGAGAAATCCAGGGCAGCCTAAGGGACAAAAGGGGAGCACATAAAAAGTGGAAACAGGGAGAGATCACCAAAGATGAATATATCTCCTCTGCTCGTGCTTGTAGGAAGGCAGTTAGACGGGCCAAAGCTGCCATGGAGCTGAGGATGACATCCCAAGTAAAAGACAACAAGAAATTGTTTTTTAGATATAT